AAATCAATTTATGCACCTCGTTGACTGACTCATCAAAGGCAGCGTCCAGGCAGATCTGGACCTATGGGGCTTTTACGTGGAAAGTACTTTTGGGGCCCTAACTAAGGCACAGCCCAAGCGGCAGCTCAGGTAGTGCTCTAATGGCTGAGATACTCCCCTCGAAACTGGCCCCCGCGAACGTATTCGCATGGATTCATGACAATTTCGCGCCAGGATCCACGCTTTGCGCCATGAATTCATGCGGAACACGGTCGCGGGGTCCAGTTTCGTGGGGAATATCTCAGCCATTAGGGCACTAGCTGAGCTGCCGGTTGGGCTGTGCCTTAGTTAGGGCCCCAAAAGTACTTTCCACGTAAAAGCCCCATAGGTCCAGACTTGAATGGACGCTGCCTTTAAGAACAAGATGCGGGCGGAGCAACTGATCAATAGGTCAACACTCCCTCCTTTCTTAAGCCGGCAATCGCATCTGTAGACAAAGTTGGAACACAAATTGCCAAAGAGAGGTGAATCAGTCATGTTTAATCGGGATTTGACCAAGTTTCCGTAATTCCAAGGCGCGTGCCATACTTGATCCACTTCATCTACTTCAGAATTGGTCAGTTTACTGAATTGATCAATGACGAAGCGGATCAAGCGGATCGATCGGCCCGAGCGGATCAAGTATGGCGCGTGTCAATCACGTGCACATGAACAATAGAGAGAAGGAAGTTGAGAAAATCGGCACTTTCTGCGGTAATCTGTATTCATCAAAAAACATGGAAAAAGGACTATTGCTTTTATAAGAGTGACTAGTGGTTCAGAGAACTTGGCAATTGAGGATGAGAAGTGTGATTCGACGACACTGAATTATATACTGTAAAAGGCACTTCTGACCTACCGTAATCAAAATTAGGCGTGACGGTAATCTTGACTGCAGAAACATGCAAATCTACGTCCAATAAACTATGCTGCGATAGAACAAGAATGTAGCATATGTCGTGGGATTGATGTGGGTAGCATATTGCTTGAGAGCGATGAACAGTCGATGTGCAGCAACGTTACGTATCAATTTCCAGTCGTGCTGTGAGCTGCTCTGATATCACAGCTGTGTGTATATGTAGATAGGTACTTACCTACCAGTCACAGCAGTTTACGTGGATTACGTTTTAAGGAACCGCTGGACCAGCAACAAGCTTGAGATTTGAGAACCCCATGAATTTCGTAATTCCTCTTCTAACCAGGTTCAAAATAAAGCTAAGCCTCACATTTATATCCTCTCGATTGTTTCTCTTCGAGTGTTTAGATTGTTTCTCTTCGAGTTTGCTGTCGCTTAAATGAGGATGGATCTTTGATCGAAGTAGCCTTTCGAGATGATATGCATACATATGGTTTTGCAAAGCATCAGCCGCTTCTAGATCTGTCCTCTTTATCTGCGGAGCGGCTATGTAACGAAGATCGGAAGGTGTAGAAAGGGAAATCGTAAACAGAAGCATCTTATGGGTTAAGATGAAGCAGAAATGCTTGTCAAACCGTTCTTTTCAAAGAAATTTTTGTTTCAAACCCATACTGGGAAACAGCTTCTGTCTCATACCCAGACCCAAATACAACTCTGACTGCGGAATGTACAGGCTGTTATACACAAACTTTTTTCCTCGTTGTGCGATCTCTTTGATTTCTGAAACGCTCTAGCTTCACCCTTAGATGTTCCGCAGACAAGGAAGACAAATTTGAAATCAACTTCCCTCCTTCAAAAATATGTGCGACTCAATCTTAAGGGGAACTTGGACCAATGATCCTTCCCGTGTAAGTCTTTTAGTCAACAAGGTGATACGCTCGTCTAGTCTGTTTTGACACTCGAAAATGATTAACATGGCAACAAGGACAGGCGATTGACGCCAAATTGGTACGCTTTATAGTGACCGCGATCCTAGTCCTTGTAAACTGAAACAAAGCCTCAAAGGGAGAGGGAAGTTATTGTATTCAATTGACATCAAGACACTGCATAATCAGTTCTGTTTTGCGCTGCTTATCTTCTGATGATAAACGTCACATAAAGTATGTTGTAGTTCTTCCAATTTGACGAATCCTTTAATGAGTATGGGCATCGTTTTCGTTCATGACCGGTCTTTAAACTTTTTTTTGTCAACTTTGTTGATGGTTAAGATCTCAAAAACGAGATTTTGTCGGTGCACAAGCGAAAAGCTAAACATTCTTATACGTCGCCTAAATGAAACAGTTCACTTGGAAGTATAGACAATCAAACTCGTGTATAGCAGTCATATGACATGTCAAAGGACGCCCTCACAGCTAGATCTGTGCGCGTAATTAGTAAATTGTAACTAAAATCTACATTATGAGCGCTGTTTTGTTGCTAAAAGTCAGCTTCAGAAAATTCCATTCATGGAGCATTGTTTCTGGTAGTAGTTGCAAGAAGCTTGTTTATCTTGGTGCCACACTTAAGCATGTATCCAGCAGTGAACGATGTCATTGGTGATTGCAGCAAGAAGATACAATCTAATCTCTTCCTTCGCAACACTTCTTTCGCAACACTCCCCAGGAAGAAAGACAAGTAACGAGAAAACAGAATAGATATTCGGGATGGATTAGCCAAACCAAAGAAGCCATCATTTTCATCCCAATGATGAGGCGGCATATCGCGCGGTAACAGGCCGAGGCGTGAAGTTACATGTCTGTGCAGCCAACAACATTACCGTCACGCCTAATTCTGATTACGGTAGGCCAAAAGTGCCTTTTACGACCTATAATCCAGATATCGACGACACATTAGACTGATTTGACAAAGCACTCGTTTGATTTTCTTGAGAAACAATTGTGAAGTCCAGCAACATCAACAGCAACGTAATGTCATGGGAGAGTTTCATCACCATGATAGTAATGGTAACCGTCTCATCAGCTTATCGCCTCTACGCCACTAATTTGATAGGGAGAAATAACACATTGAAGAAGATTTGACGAGCACAGAACCACGCAATTTCAACTAATTTACCAATTTTACTCGTAATCCACTCAATGATAGTTTTCTTCCGCATTAGTTTGGATCATTTTTCTTGTTCACTTACTTGGATGGCCCCACCTCACGTGGCTATGAACAAACACAAAAGTCTACAATAGTTTCCGTCCTTCGCTTCAAACATCCACGATCTTCTTAGCTGTTGTCGGTCGCTGCGTCCACGAGGTCCAGGTGCAAAAATCGTTTCTAGCTAACTCAGCTGGTCTATATGTTTCACGAACACGTCTGCCCATCTCGTTGGAGTTCTCTCTCGGAAACGTTTTGCTTTGCGAGGAATCCCACTCGAAAGTTCTTAGCGTCCATCTGCTATATGACATTATCATATAACCGGCCCATCAATGTTGCATTAGCAACGTATTTTGCTGGGTTACGAAGACGGGACATTCTTCTCATATTTGTACTGCGAAGTCTATCCATACTGTAACAAGTTGTTATTTGTATTGGGCCACCTTCAAAAGACTGCGCTCAAGCGCTCGGTAAGTGGTTCGTAAAGCTTTCGACTTGGCTACACGATCGGCTCAAGGGAGAAGGAGGGAAGACGCCAGAAAAACGGCCGAGTCAAGCAGGTGCGCTTGAAGCTTCGAATGCGTCAGTCGGTGGATGGTTTCCGTCAGAGGCTCGAAGGCGGTCCAGGCTACTCTTTTTTGAGTTTTCCCCCTAAGTCTTTCTATGTTCATCAAACGTCCAAGATACAGAAGACGTCTCTATGGCAAAGATGCTTTCAATTCCATTTCCGTATCTTCTAAAAGAACGCTCCTAATAACATTCTTCATAACATCTTTTTCTTTACTTCGTTAAAATTTTTTAAAGACTTCTCTGCTTCAGTGATTCTGCTGAAAAAAGAACAACGTCAACCACAAAACGAGCGTTCGACAGGAATCTTCCATCAATTCCTATGCCTTTCTCGTTCAGTCCAGTGACTTCATCACCCATTGGGCCGCGAGATAATGTAACCTTGTCGTACCTCCTCCCAACTGAGATAGCCAGGGTGATGAAAAAGCACATCATCTTGTATATCTTATACAGATGGCTAACGTTTTTAAGTAAGCTGGGTGTACTTCTTGATGTTAAATGCGACGTGGGAATCTCGTGTAGACGTTGTCCTCAAGCTCGCAAAAGTTCGACTGTAAATCTGGTCTTGAATCCGTAGACGTCTTTATGGTCTGGATTGCGAATGGACCTCAGCAGGTAGGATCCTTGGTATACTTTTTCCGTGGGAACAACGGCCATCGGCACGGGTGTTGACCTACCGGCATACCATGTTCGTAGAAGGTCCCTTCTGCACTTTTTGAGATTTCTTCTTCCTTCGGCTGCTTCCAGTATCTTGGCTTTCCTACTTCCTGAGATTTCGCAAAGCTGTTCTGCAACAGGCGTTGACTAATGTTGCGGCGTTCGGATCCTTTTCAAAGATCTTTTTTCGTGTAAATTCTTGGTGGTCTTCGAAAGTTTCTAGTTCTTTCAGAAGTCACCGAGACCTACTGTCTGCAGGCTTGCAATTTTTCCAGAAGCCGGTCGTAGCCGTACGTTGGGTCCTTCTCGACAGGCCAGTCACAACTTGATATGAGCTCTTTCAGCCTATTACGTTATAAACGCTTCCTTCCTCCTTCGGCATTGTGGCAAACCTTGTTTTTCAGCTTCTGATCATATCGTGCCTTTGTTCGAAAGAGGAGCGATTGGAGCTATTGCAGGAGAATCTACTGAGACATCGGGCAAACTCTATGTTCATTGGTGGAAATTTGGTCGTTTTGCGCGTGAATCGTTTTGTTGAACGATTTTTATGTACACCTGCTGTGTACTTGCGGCGAAGAGAAGGGGTAAACGAGACGGTTGCCATTTCCGTTTCGGAGCCCATATCCAAACTTTCCAATCCTATTTTTTTTCTAGTGGCAACATGATTTTGCAAGTCACTCACAACAAACTTATGGGTAACTTGACGACACCAAGCACACTTTGAAACTTAATCAACCCTACTTTGTTTCTAGACACTCACCTCCCTCCAATGCAGACAATGTGGTGACATGCTGAAGAGAAGATTTGATGGCCGGATAGATTTTAGGATAAGAGAAACTAACCACAAGTGCAAAACAGAGCAACCGAAGCATTTCGGTGTATCGCTTATTGCGTTGCTGTTTATATACATGCACTACCACGAGCGTACTGTAGTCTCATAAACATGCCGCCACGCTGACTGCTTTATAAAGCTACCAGCTCAATACTCCAATAGGAGGTAGCACGGATATAACAGTCAATGTTTTCGTTCAATCATTCGAAATGATGACATGGATGTGGAACCTAAGACAAAAAATTTGGCGGGAGTATTGCGATTCATTGGGAAGAAAACAACGTCAGGGTAAATTAGAAGATAAAAGTTCAATACGTTTTCTTTAAAGCAATTGAAGGAGGAAGAGAGAATTAGTAGTTTTAACGGCGGTTCGCAACACACTCTGGGACGTTTTCAGTGCTCGCTGTTTCGACTGAAACTTGTGCTTGTTTGAAAAGGCACCCGCCATACTTACCCCTCTTGATCCGCTTGATCCGCTTAATCCGCTTGATCCGCTTGATCCGCTTGCTCCGCTTCTTGCAGGACGCGTGCAAAACGCGCGCACACAGCAGTCTGTCATTTGACGCCGCGTAGGGAAAAATGAATTCGTATGGTTACGCAATTTCGCTGTACGCGGCGTCAAATGACAAACTGCAGGTGCGCGCGTTTTGCAGGAAGCGGATCAAGCGGATCAAGCGGATCAAGCGGATTAAGCGGATCAAGTGGATTAAGCGGATCAAGCGGATCAAGTATGGCGGGTGCCAAAGCGAGTCATGGTGATGAAGTCGCGCATTCAAATGTGGGTACACGTAAACCAAAGGTGTAATGACGAATTGTTCAAAAATCAAAGGATCTATGAACGAATTAACTAGAAATGTCCTAAAAGTTCTGCATTAGGCGACGTGAACGAATATAATGGACAAGAGTAACTGCGCGAATTACTTATTTAACGTCGAAAATGATTGCCGTAACGTTGAGAGCTTGTATATGGAGACAGATATGAAATTTTAAAAAGCTTCGGCGGATAACCATCAGCCTCGCATTGGCCCGTAGTAAACCCCCGAAATATGTCGTGATGTAAAGAAACCGAGAACACGACGTGTCCGACTGAAGGACGTGCTGCTCACGATTACGTTTTGGTCGCCGCAAAACATACGATTGCACGCGCGATCGATCTCTTCGGTTATCTTTGACGCCGCGCACTGTCACTGCGCCATAAATTTCATGCTTTACCTGTAAGAATCGAACGTAACAAATGAGAGGGCGGTTGCTTGCAACATCGTTCGAACAACTTTATAAGCAAGCTTGATTTGTATCAACCTCCATTTGTAAAGTATAAAGATATGCACTGTCCGCAATGTTCACAATAAAGGCGCTCACTAAAGGAAACTACACAAGGAATGCAAATAGCGCAACGCCAGTGTCGGCCGCAGTTGTCCTATGAGGTGCGAGGGGTAAGGGGTACGCGTCTCGCGTGAGGAATCATTTTGCAAACGGCTCTGTTAGAAAAGTTTCCATGCAAACAAACAAAAATTTCTAGGATCTTTCGTAGCATAGGAAAAGAAAGCATGTAACACATAAATAATCGCAAATACAAAAAAATTTGAAAATTTGGAATACTGTAAAATAATCACCACTTCAGTTATTCCAAACATAAGCTATTTCATTAACCATGACGCCAGACGGCTCTCTCGCTCAGATAGGAAGAGAAACGCTAGGTACACAGCTAATGAACAGCAAATTGGAATATACGCCATACAAGACGCTAATGGCAAATATAAGAAAATTATGACATGGAGAAAAATTCTAAGACCAGATGGAATGCAGTGCGAGAATAACAAGAAAAATTGGCTAAATCACAAGAAAAGGGACTTTTAATTTGTATGTTTTGAACGAAATAAATGAAGCATAGTACAGCGGAAATTCTAAGAATACGGAAAGTTGCTGAGCGGGTCGACATTTGGGCGCCTATCAGCTGTTGATATCGATTGCATTTGGCGTGCGTTGATACTGCTGTGTACCTACGGTCTTTGCATAAGGTCGCGAGCTCGGCGTACTCGACCCTTAGTCAGTTGCGCCTTCCTGCGTTTCCACGCTGAGCCCACTATTTTTGTTTCTCTGCGCCTTAAGTGACGACGTTCACGACGTGCTCATCCTCTGCGCGCGAGGACAAGCACGTCCTGCAGTCACGACGTCCCGCGATTTCGCCGCGCGGCTGTGATAAGAGATAGGCGCGCGACGAAACGCGGCAGAAACGACACGTGCTGGGTATGTGCGATGTTTCGAATGTCGCGACCCTCACGACGGGGGAATTACTGCGGGCCATTGTAGGTCCAATGTATACACGTAAGCCATGAGGCATTTGTTTTTTTCCTTGAGCCAAAATGTCAACCTAAAAAGGTTAATATTTTTGTGCAACAACTGATGCGCATTGAAGACTAGGGCGTATTACGTCCCTATGTTGATAGGCTGGTTTAGCCCGTTTTTCTAGTCTGTCCTGTTTTACGAACAACTTTTTTCCATTAAAATTCCTTCTTCAGTAGAATTTTGCATATCACTGGAAAGCTCTCTTGATGCACTTTTTAGAATGATGCGAATAGGCTTCCATCTTCTTCTTTATAGTTTTCGCCGATAAATACATTTACGGCTTTGCGGTGCGAGAAGCGTATAAGGCTAACTTCTCGATAGTCCAATCGTTCTACTAACATCCATTGGTGGTCTTCCTCATGGACGCTTTTCGAAAAATCCACTCTGACGTTATGGTCCATCTGCCATCTTTTCGTAATGTGAGCGCAAAGATGCTTCAGCTGTATAACAGAGTGGCTGGAGAAGAGCCGAATTTAACAGAAGCGCTCGAAGCTCAAAAGTGGTCTATGTCCTTCAGCTAGACTGCGGTCTCCTTCTTCCAGAAGCGGTCCAGAAAACTCTTCTTTTCCGGTTAAGTTCTTTCCTCAAAGGGTTCTGCAAGCCCAAAAGTAAACGATACCCATAAGAAGACTCTCCGTAATGCAGCTGCCTTTCAACTTCCTTTGCACATCTCATAAAAAGGATTTCTATAAACTGAGTCTCTCTTGGATACTCGCAACCCAAACTCCTTCCATGCCTCATGACTCACTGTTGTTTTGCTTCACATCCTGTAACAAAAGAAGAGGTTGTCTTTTGCAGAAGTCAGATTCGAGAAAAGTTCAACAACTTATACACCTCTCGTCCAAGTTGAGTAACCTCATCATTCACTACACCGCCTCAAACAGCTTTAGCGAGATTGTATGGCTTATCCGAACTCCTTTCCAATTGGGGTGGTCGCGGGGCAATGGAATAGCAACATCGTCGTTGCACGTCCTTAGAGTAGTTAGCTAGTGTCCTCGCGTGAGCAGCTGAGCTCACTTCTTGATCGACTGTATCGACTGAATGGCATCATTTCGACGCTGTTGGGCTTTCGCGTACTCGACGAAGGTTAGGACGAGAGAAAGGTGGTACTCCGACAGACTTCTATGACCCTTGAAAAATCTGGAATAGTTCATGCAGGTGAATTCTTTGCGAAATCAGCTTTTGAGGATACGCTTCATCCAGCGTCCTTGATATAAACTCCTTGATATACACATAAACTTCTTGCGAAGCATGCACAGCACAGTCATGCATAGACGATAGTTCCAAAAATTCTCTTTGAAGATAAAAAATGCTCTTAAGGTTCTCTGCTGATCGAGAATCCTTTCTTCTGAAGGTAAGATGTCACATGCGGCGCGAAAACCAATTGTAGATTATCCTCCGGCTCGCAACTCGACAGAGCGATGAATTGGTACTAAGGCCGTGGACATTTTCAGGTTCTGAATGGCGTTACACACTTTAGCAGATTTATTTTTGGTAATGCTTTTCCAGTGGGAACAATGAGCATCGATGCAGGTGCTGATAATTGAAACAGGTTGGTGTAGAAGTTTTCCACAAGTTTTTCGCAGTTTTCCGCAGTTTTCTTATATCGGGAAGAAGTCGAAGTCTCGTTTTCGTTTAGTGGGAGCAGCGGGGATATCGCAGAAGTCACTTTCGCACTTTTTGAGGTTTGCTTTATTCTGCTGCTTCTAAAAACCTTACTTGTTCCTTAATTACGAAGATCCTCCAGCAAAGCCAAAATGAGTAGCATTCGGATCTTGCTTCAAGGCTCTTCATCTTCTCAAGGCCCCTAGCGTTTCGAGCTCTTTTCAGGAGAAGTGCATTTTGGGGAGTAGCAGTTGATGTTGCTAGGCTTTCTGGGTGGATGTACCAGCTGAAAACACTAGCTGGATACGAATTTCGTTCCTGTTACCAACGTAGAGACTGACTTTCATATCGTGGATGTTGCAAGTATTGAGGATAAGGAAATTTCTGTGCTGGCCTGCACAAACATAAAGACAAGTTTTTATTAATAAGAGTAAGTAAGATTTTGACTGTTCTTTGACACATTGTCATAATTATATACTAGGTTGTGTAATAAGTTTTACTGCTTCTTCCTTTTGTTTTTTTCTCAATATTTCGCACGATGTTTTGCAAAACGTATATATGCATTCGACAACTCCAGCCTGCTCTACCAAAATTTTCGCTTCCATCTCCTAAATCAAAGTATGTTGGAAGAGTTTTCCAGCATCAAATATGGAAAACCGAAAAGAAGGAAATTCATCTTCGCAATTTACATTACTTCGTCTTCTTAATGTTTGAAATGCGTACAAAGCATCTCGAAATTTGCACGAAATAAGCAAAAAATGCTATAATTTCTGCAGCGCCCACAGGAGTGCTGAAAGGTTTTGGAAATTACTTTTGCAATCAAATTCTTTTTTCTTACGTCTATTTAACGTTGACGTTGGGTACCTGAAGGCAGTTTTCATAGAGGATGGTAAATGGACAATCCAGTAAAGACAGAAATGATGTTTGTGGCTACAAAATTATCGATCATAAGTCGATTTCACAGAAATACAGTGTTTGGGGATCACACAGCTTAGGTGTGCGAGACGACGAACATCGCTGCGACAAAGTCTTAATTCGCCGAGAAAAAAAGGCATCGAAAAGGCAGCAGGAGGAGGGGTTGGTTGCTTTGTTTGTTGCCGAGTTTGTTGAAAAAACTTGTGAAAAAAGGAAAAAATGGAAAAAGATGTAGAAAATGATGTTTTGCTTTCTTGGATTTTGATGTC